AACTATCTATCAAACAATTATGGCGTGGATAAAGACTTTAATGAAGGCAGTCTGGCCTGTCTACACGCTCCCCACATTACCTCTTGTTACACCTGTGTGTAGCTGTGGTGGCGTTCACACACTCGCAGTAGAAGTCACAGCCGTCATCCCAGGTCTCGCCCTGCTTGTAACTCTTGCCATTGTACAAACAGCCTGGGGAAACACCGGAAACAGGTCCAATGATTTTGTCACCGGAAACTGCCTTAGTTGTTTAGGCCTTATGAGTCGTTTCATACCCCTGTCCCCTAATTTTGTAGTTTTTCCTTCCAATGATATTCATTCTTTCTACAATCTGTAGATTTCTGAATTGGGTTTGAGTTGTTGATGGGTTTTTTGGGTTGTTTTTTTGTTTTTGTTTGTTTTGTTGTTGTTGTTGTTGTTTTGTTGTTGTTGTTTTTGGGAGGGGGGGTTATGGCGGGAGTTTAAGTTTGATTTTGACCATAGGGTTTCGACAACAATTTTTATTTCTGAGACTTTCTTTTCTTATCGGATTGCTTCCCATTATCATAGATATTTTTGTTATAATTGTTTCAAAGCAACTTAGATGAGATCTTTGCTTTAGAATAAATGGGAACAAAAAAGAAAGAAAACAAAACCAAAAAAACAACCAAACAACAAGACGGACTGTTACATTGAAAGCAAGATGGGAAATAAGATCAAAAGAAAATGAAGAAACCCGCAAAGTTACATTTGCTGAAGGCAAGGTATATATATATTTTATGGTGCAGACTGTTCCCACTTAAAAAGCGGCATTGTCACTCTGTAAGGTGCCGTTCTATATTGTCGTAGTCTGCCCTTCTCCCCAGCCAGGAGACCGGAGTTCGATTCTTGAGTGGGAAAATTTTTTATTTGAGTATCTTGGTATGCTGGTATGTTTTATCACTCTTGCCCCGGGGTGGCCCTACCAGGTAGAGTCAGATCAGAAGCCCACCTCCTAAATAATCTAAATTATGTAGATGAGGGCGTAAAAACTACATTTTCTAAAAATTAATTAAAAACAGAAGCAATTAACCATAACCGTACAAATGACTTTCCCTTCCAATAGGTGAAAGTTGAATAAATGGACACGACAATTTTGTTGTTTGAATATTTGGGGAGGGGATGGCTTAGAGTCTACTGACATGTTGTTTCAATAGCATTATCTCTATTTCTAAAAAGTTGGGGGGGGGAGGGTTAATCTAATAATGAAATAAAAATTCGGGAACCCACTGGTGTAAGTAGTCACTGGCCTCGGTCCATCCCCAACAATCGTCATGGGGGCGGGGCTTCCATAAATAACCTGTGGCTTGTTCATGGGCGGCCTTTGATAGTCTGGCTTGGAGGGCGGGGTCAAGGTCGGGGGCAGAGGGCACTCCTCCACCTGGCAGCAGGTCGGGTTGTCGGGGTCAGGGATGAGCGTACAGCCAGCACTGGGCGCGATTTTGGCACATCTGTGGGAGGTCGTGAGGTCAAAGGGTTATGTGTGGGAGATAGATAGATAGATAGATAGATAGATAGATAGATAGATAGATAGATAGATAGATAAATAGATGGATGGATGGATAGATGGATAGATGGATGGCTGAATGAATGGATGAATGAATGGGTGGATGGATGGGTGGATGAATGGATGGATGGGTGGATAGATAGATTAACCTAGAAAAGGGTGGAGAGGGGCGAGAGACTTATGGCTGACTGGCATATTATAATAGATACGTGTAATTAACGAGATAGAAAAGAGTGTAGCAGGCGGAAAATGAAAGAGATAGATGGAGGGACAGGTGTTCAGACAGACAGTCAGACAGACAGACGGACAGACAGGCGGAAAATGAAAGAGATAGATGGAGGGACAGGTGTTCAGACAGACAGTCAGACAGACAGACGGACAGACAGGCAGAAAGACAGACAGACAGACAGACTTACACATCTCTGCAGCGGACCAGGTTGTTGTCCACGTCCTCACAGGTACAGACTTTGTCACAGTCACCGTCGTAATACACCTGGCCGCGTCTTAGGTACTGTCCCTTGTACAAACATACACCTAATGGTGGGGGTGGAGGGAGGGAGAGGGGAGAGAATGAGAGA